GAGAAGGTCCTGGTGGCCAACAGGGTGACCAGGAGGCAGCAAGATGTACTGGTGGCCAAGAAAGTCCATGAGCTCCTGGGGGAATTAAGAGGAGGGTGGGCAGCAGGACAGGGAGGTTCTCCTGCCCCTCTGGTGGGGGCACCTCTGGAGAAGTGGGTCCAGTTTGGAGGTTCCCAGGTCATGAAGGCCCAGGAGCTGCTGTGGAGAGGGGACAGCAAAGGGTGGTGGGACCTGCTGGAGAGCATCTCTGGGGAGAAGGACCTTGGGGTCCTGGTGGGCAACAGGGTGACCAGGAGTCAGCAACGTGGCCTGGTGGCCAAGAAGGTCTGTGGGCTCCTGGGAGCACCAAGAAGGTGAGGGAGGTTCTCCTGCCCCTCTGGTGGGGACACGTCTGGGTCCAGTTCTGGGCTCCCCAGCACATGAAGGACAAGGAGCTGCTGGAGGGGGGACAGCAAAGGGTGGTGGGACCCAAACCAGAAAAGGTCTTTGGTGGGATCCAGAAAAGGGGGTTGGGGTCCATGAGGAGCTGTGGGTCGGGGTCCATGGGGGGCTGTGGGTTGAGGTCCATGAGGAGCTGTGGGCTGAGGTCCATGAGGGGCTGTGGGTCGGGGTCCATGGGGGGTTCTGGGATGAGGTCCATGGGGGGCTGTGGGTTGAGGTCCATGAGGAGCTGTGGGCTGAGGTCCATGAGGGGCTGTGGGTCGGGGTCCATGGGGGGTTCTGGGATGAGGTCCATGGGGGGCTGTGGGTTGAGGTCCATGAGGAGCTGTGGGCTGAGGTCCATGAGGGGCTGTGGGTCGGGGTCCATGGGGGGTTCTGGGATGAGGTCCATGGGGGGCTGTGGGTTGAGGTCCATGAGGAGCTGTGGGCTGAGGTCCATGAGGGGCTGTGGGTCGGGGTCCATGGGGGGTTCTGGGATGAGGTCCATGGGGGGCTGTGGGTTGAGGTCCATGAGGAGCTGTGGGCTGAGGTCCATGAGGGGCTGTGGGTCGGGGTCCATGGGGGGCTGTGGGTCAAGGCCCTGCTGTTCCACCTTCCAGCCACAGCTCTGAAGATGAACATGAACCTCCGGGAGCTCTACCTGGCAGACAACAAACTCAACGGGCTGCAGGACTCAGCTCAGCTTGGGAACCTCCTCAAGTTCAACTGCTACATCCAGATCCTCGACCTGAGGAACAACCACATCCTGGACTCAGGTGGGGACCCCTTCTTGTCCTGCCCCCCTTCCCAGGAGCAGGAAGGATCCACAGGGCATCTCCAAAGGATCTTAAGGGGTTGGGTTTTTCAAAGCTGGAAGAACTTCCAACACTTCCCAGGCCTGATGGTGGATTGGGGTGATGGTCCCTCAGGGTCACCTCCTTCTCCTCCTTCCCTCTGATTTTTCTTCCTCCCTGGAACCAAACAAGTCACCAAACCCAACATCAACCCAGGGGCTGGAACCAATCCCAGCCCAGCTGTCGAGCCCGGCGGGTTCCGGTGCCTGTCCCATCCACTCCTGGGCTGGGTATGGAGGAGAATGACCAGGTCGGATGTCACTGTTGCTGTTGGGTCCCACCCAACTGGGTCCCACCCAGATGAGTCCCATCCCAAGGTGCAAACACTAATTTGTCACCTCCCAGCTCAGCTGCCACGTCCCTGGCACCTTTGGGTGCTCGGAACGAGCGATGCCAGAGCTGGATGTGGCTTGTGGGGCATCTCCAGAGCTTCTGCAGTGGGGTGGAGGCCACCCCATGTCCACACACCTCTGCCTCCCTCCCCAGGATGAGGTTCCACCCTCCTCCAATTAGCTTTGTGCTAATTAATTGTCTCCACCGAGAGGTTGAATTGCTTGGGGAGTGTGATGAGTTTTGTCCACGGTCAAATGGAGGAGCTGGTGGAAGAGGTTTGGGGAGGAGGTTCTGGGGACACTTCCAGTGCTGGAGCTTGGGGTGATGAGGTCCTGGCTTGCTCCATCCCTGCCCCTGGGTGGGATGGAGGAGGCCAGGAAGGGGCTTCCAGAGGGGGGTCTAGGACAACTCTCCACCATCAACTGACCACGGGATGACTCTCCACCAGGAGATCTCTAGGCCAGGACAACTCTCCATGGATGGGCAGATGATCCTCAGGTCCCAGCCAGGCCCCTTTTTTGGTTGGGATCCCACCCAAGCCCCTGTTGGGATCCCACCCAAGCCCCTGTTGGGATCCCACCCAAGCCCCTTTTCTGGACCCTTGGTCACCTGCCCAGCCATGGGAAGTTCTTCTGGCCCAGAGAGATTCCAGTGGAGATTTGGGCAGTGGAGAGTTGTCTCTTCCCAACCCCTGGTTCTTCTCCAGGCCTGGCCTACATCTGCGAGGGGCTGAAGGAGCAGAGGAAGGGGTTGGTCACCTTGGTGCTGTGGAACAACCAACTGACCCACACAGGCATGGCCTACCTGGGCATGACCCTGGTGAGTAGATCCAGCTCCTTCATGACCCCCATGGCTGCTCCACCAGGATTGGAGATGCTCCGGGATCAACCAAACATCTTGACCTCACCAACCCATGGTGTTGAGTCAAAGAAGAACCTGTCCTTTCTCCCTTGCCCCTTCTGCTGTGTCCCTGGGGACCTCCCCATGGAATTATCTCCCCCCCCAGCCCCACACGCAGAGCCTGGAGACCTTGAACTTGGGTCACAATCCCATTGGGAACGAAGGTGTCCGGAACCTGAAGAACGGGCTGATCGGGAACCGCTCCGTCCTCCGGCTGGGCTTGGCCTCCACCAAGCTGACCTGTGAAGGTGGGTGGGACCCAAGATGTCCCCAACAACCCCCCCTACAACCTTCCCAGAAACCCCAAACTCCTCCAAACACCATCTGGAGGAGGAATCTCCTCTTGTCCCTGTGGCAGGGGCGGTGGCCGTGGCCGAATTCATCGCCGAGAGTCCCCGACTGCTCCGCCTGGACCTGCGGGAGAACGAGATCAAGACTGGGGGGCTCATGGCCTTGTCCTTGGCCCTGAAGGTCAATCACTCCCTCCTGCGCCTGGACCTGGACAGGGAGCCCAAGAAGGAGGCGGTGGGTGACTCCTGGAGATGGGTCCTGCTCCCCCTGGGTGGCCCCTGGGATGGGGATCCCACCATCTTGGTGGGTTTGAGGTGGAGCCGGTGGGGATCCCACCACCCCTGGAAGCCCATGGGGATCCCACCACCCCTGGAAGCCCATGGGGATCCCACCACCCCTGGAAGCCCATGGGGATCCCACCACCCCTGGAAGCCCATGGGGATCCCACCACCCCTGGAAGCCCATGGGGATCCCACCACCCCTGGAAGCCCATGGGGATCCCACCACCCCTGGAAGCCCATGGGGATCCCACCACCCCTGGAAGCCCATGGGGATCCCACCACCCCTGGAAGCCCATGGGGATCCCACCATCCCTGGAAGCCCATGGGGATCCCACCACCCCTGGAAGCTCATGGGGATCCCACCACCCCTGGAAGCCCATGGGGATCCCACCACCCCTGTGGCTTTGAGGTGAAGCCCGTGGGGGGGACACACACCACCCTGCTAACAGTGATGGAAACAACCACAGAACTCCTTGTTCCTGGAGATCTGCTGTGGGAAACACCCCAACCAAGCTCTGGCTTCTCCTCCCTGGCAGGTGAAGAGTTTCATCGAGACTCAGAAGGCTCTTCTGGCCGAGATCCAGAACGGCTGCAAACGCAACTTCATCCTGGCCAAGGAGAAGGAGGAGAAGGAGCAGAAGCTCCAACAATCAGCGTCCATGCCTGAGATCACCATGACTGAAGCCCTGGAGGAACCTCCAGCCCCGGATAGTGAGGCCACCACGTCTCCCCAGGAAGGGGAAGGAGCTGAGGAGACACCAAGGACCTCGGAAAATGGGGCCACGGAGCCGATGGAGGAGGAGGAGGAGGAGGATGGAGGAGACGTGTCCGACTCGGAGTCAGACACGGATGAGGAGGAGGGGTTGGAGACCAAGGATGTGGGGATGGAGACCAAGGACGTGGGGTTGGAGACCAAGGACATGGGGATGGAGACCAAGAACGTGGGGTTGGAGGAGACTGAGGACGTGGGGTCGGAGAACAAGGACTTGAGCGAAAGGTCGGAACATCCCGACGCGGCCTTGGAGAAACCGCGGGAGCGGCCGCCCCCCCTGCACCTTCCCAGGGATCCAGCCCCTTCCCAGGGGAATGAGAGGAGGATCTCGGTGTCCAGCCCTGGGAGAGGCCACAAGATCTTTGTGGTGACACGAGTGGAAAGTCTGCCCGAGCCAAGCGGCACCGCGGGACCCTCCGAGCCCCGGGAACCGGATCCCGTCCCGGCGCTCCGGGTAAACGGAGCCGTTCCCAAAGGTCCTGCTGGGGATCTGGGAATCAGCCCCCTTGATCGACAGGGATCCAATCCCCAGGGACCTGATCCCCAGGGATCTGAGCGTGCTGCCTGTGGGGGTGCAGCCCAGGACACCCCCCTTCCCAACGGCCTGAAGACGGATTTTGTCCGGGCGCTGCCGGAGGCGTCGGAAGGCGACGGGAAAACCGGGAACTGCGGCGCCGAGCACGGTGAGGGAACAGGTCTGATCCCTGGGGATCCCCAGCCATGGGGACCCTGAGCATCCCAATCCCTGAGGATCCTGAGCCCCCCAGTCCCTGAGGATCCTGAGCATCCCAATCCCTGAGGATCCACATCCAGGAGGATCCTGGGCCCCAGTCCCAGAGGATCCTGAGCCCAAATCCCTGAGGATCCTGAGCCCCCCAATCCCTGAGGGTCCCAATCCCCATGGATGATCCCAAGACCCCCCAATCCTTAAGGGTCCCAGTTCCCATGGGTGATCTCAAATCATCCCAGTCCTTGAGGGTCCCATTTCCCATAGATGATCCCAATCCCCATGGATGATCCCAAGTCCTTGAAGGTCCCAAGCCCCATGGATGATCCCAAGTCCCCCCCAGTCCCTTTTTCATCCCTGGCTTCATTCCCAATGGGACACCTATGGGTGCAGTTGCTGGGGAGGGGAGGGGGGCTTTTCCTTGGGGGTGGAATTTCATCTTGGGAGGGGGAGTGGGACAAAAAGTGGGACAAAAAGTGGGAAAAGGCCAAGGAAGAGCCTGGGTGGGGGTTCCCTTGCAGAGCTGAGCTGCTCCAAGAACGAGCAGGAGCTGGAGGAGCTGCTCCTGGAGGCCAGTCAGGACACGGGGCAAGAGCTGCTGTGACCCCCAGGTGAGCCTTGGGGACAACCTGGGGACCCTCCTTCAAGGGCTGGGGACCCCCCAGACCAAAAGAGCTTGGGTGGGATCCAAAAAAGGGTCCTTGGTGGGATCCATAAAAGGGTCTTTGGTGGGATCCAAAAAAGGGTCTTTGGTGGGATCCATAAAAGGGTCTTAGTGGGATCCAAAAAGGATCTAAGATGGGATCCAAAAGGGACGTGGTGGGAGCTGCTGTGACCCCCAGGTGAGCAGGGCTGGGCCTTGGGGACAACCTGGGGACCCCCCCTCCAGACCTGGGGACCCCCCCAGGATCCATGGACCCCCCAACCTCCTGCTCTCCTCCCCCACAGATCCCAGTGGAGCCTCCAGTGAAGCTTCATCCTCATCCCACGCGACGCTTGAGGAACCATCATCCTCGAGGTTCCTTCAAGGACTGAGGCTTCTTGGACCCCTTTTTTTCCAACCACCCTCCCTAAAACCAATTTCCCACCCTTGGGAATTTCTTCCCCAAGAGCCTCAACTTCCATGGGAACTGGGAAAAGGGGGGGGATGGGAAGGAGAAGTGGAACCAACCAACCCAAGGTTGGCTCAACCATCAGAGGTGGGCGGGAATCCCACGGGAATCCAACACTACAGGGGACAGGATGACAACGTCCCTCACTACAACCAACCAGGACAGGCCACAAATGGTTTATTTATTTTTAAAATTCCTTCTTTTTGTGGTTTTTTGGGGGGGAATTTTTGTGTTTGGTTGTTGATTTTTGGGATCTATTTATCACGGGGGGTTTGGGGGCGGGAGGGAAAACGTCGACGTGTCCGTAGGATCCACCCAGTTCTTTGGCCTCAACTCCCATGGCTGCCAGATGAAGATAAAAAAACCAACCCAAACCCACCCTAAAAACACCAAAATCAGCTTTTTTTGGAGCCCCCCCCCCTCCCCCCCATATCAACCTCCC